ATATATATATATATATATATATATATATATATATATTGTGAAAAGCCTAAGGGTTGATTTTATTGAAATAGAAAAGATACATAAGGGTTGTATGAGAGGACCCAGTAGAGGCACCTTACCCATACTATACTAAGTACATTACTACCCCAACAAAAGATACATATAAACTCGACAAATTTCAAACATGCAGAAAAGAAGTAGCTAGGGACGAGCCAGTTTAGTCCTGTCTTTTACTCTAGTTTTAGGAGCGGTGTTAGATAACAAACTTTGAATTGTTGTGTCATTGCTAGGAGTAACTAAAGCATTATTCGTTAAGTTTTCAAGTTGGAGTGTGCCCCCAACCTTCTTCTTCCGCCGGGAAGTGTAAACCCGTCATTCTTCATCTGAAGACTGACTCATGTGATACTCATGTGATCCGACTCATGTGATCCTCGGTCTGATTACATATTAGAACCACAGTAGAAGGAAAAACAATCGTTGCCACAACGATAGGTTCCAGTGTCTGTGAAGTGTGAATTGTCACCTCTGCATCTTTCTGAATAGGAGTTGCGGAGCTATCCTGACTTTCGGTCCGAACATTATCCCTTATAGTATGGTCAGGAGAAGGGTTCCTAGGAGCAGACACCATTTCCTGTTTTTTGGTGATTCCCCCATTAGGTTGGCTGTCATCAGTTAGAGCGTCCAGACACGTGAGATGCACTAACATCATGTTCCTGCTTTTGATTATTGGTTTTCAACTGTGGGTGCAATATAAAACATTTCTCTTGCGGGTGTCCAAACATCTTGCAGTATTTGCAGTAGTAAGCTTTTTGTTCCATAGTGATTTTTTGCCAATAACTATTGTGAGCAGAGCCAAACCAGACTTTTTCTACATTTGGTAGTGTAGTATCCCTTTCAATCAAAATTCTTGCAATAGAGGGCCTTAAGAATTGACTAGGGAAATAAACTGTAAGTGTGTCTACCTGCAAATGTTTTCCAAGAATAGTCCCAATTGCATATAAGGTAGGTAGGTCAAAAAATTGAAGCTTGAGTTCAGTAAATGAGAACTTGATAGACGTAATTGGGGGTTCTTGATTGGGATCAAAATCAGGGGTCCATTTGAGCAATTTCATATGATTGCCCTCGATTGTGATGAATTTTTTTGAGAAAATTCTTATATAATATATTTAAAACATCATTTGAATCTAATTTAATAATTTTTATTATATTTTCTTAATCAATATTTTAATTGATTATAAATCTTTGTAGCCATGTAGTCATTTAGATTTTTTTAAAATACTACTATATATATATATATATATCGAGCCAAAACGAGCCAAATATGAACGAAAAAATCTTTATTCATGTTTGACTTGCTTATATATCGAGCGCAAAAAAGTTTTTCATATTCGACTCGTTTGTTTATTGAATGAATTGAGCATGAGTTACTCAACGAGCTGAACATGAGCTATTCGTTAGCAACGAGTTGTTTTGACAGCCCTAACACTATGTATCTCCATTAGTAAATTTCAATATACTTACTACATTTTAAAAAAACCCACAAATTATAATTTAAAAGTCCAATTCTTGTAGTTTTCTTCCATTATATCTTATACCTTAAGATGTTTGGGGCTTTTCCCCCTCCATTTCATAATAAGGCTTTAATGATTATGTGTCATTAATTGATAACTTCTCTATTTTATGTTGGGTATTCCTTTCGAAAAATAAATCCTACCTCAATCTTCATCATATACAATAAGATGGTGGAAACACAACTAAATCATCACAAATGTCTCTACTTTGATCAAGGTTGATAATATCTTAATCACAATCTAAGAACTCAGTTAAATAAATGGGATATCATTCTTCAAACCACTTTTCTCCATACTTGTGAACAAAATAAAGTCTTTAAACACAAGCATTGACATCTCATTGAAACTATTCGTACTTTGCTTCTGGAAGCTAGTCTAACACATTACCTATGGCTTGATACCCTTCTCACAGCTACTTACCTCATCAACTGCCCGCCTTCATTAAACACAGACAATCTCTCACACTATCAACTCCTCCGCAACAAAAATCTTGACTGCAATCATCTCAAATCCTTTGGATGTACATGATATCCATGGCTAAGACCCTAACCTAAAACCGAACTATCTACAACGTATTTTCATCAAATACATAGAGAACACCAAAGGCTATCAATGTTACCGTCCTCTTACAGGGAACATCTTCATCTCCAGGCATTCAAATTTTTATGAAGACACATTCCACATCCCACACCCAAACCCTCACCCCACCTCCTCACTTCCCCAACCAATCAACCACAGCATCATATATTGATCTCTATCTCTATTGACGCTCTCAAAAATCACATTTAATTCTTCTCGATCATTTCATCACTACTTCAATACTTCCCTACAATATCTCATCAACTTGCAGCTTCCCTATTTAACTCTTCTGAATAACCAATCCCGCCTTTAAATATCTCAAGAACCTGTACCCATCTCCCTCACTCACTCACACACACACACTTTCTCTCTCAATACAACCACAACTACTCCACCTTCCACAGCTCATCGTTACTCAACGGTCACTCAGTCACATACAAGAAGTCTCAAACCCAAGCAAATTCTATAGCTGGACATGCCATCCATTATCCACCTGCTCCCACATCTTACACCGCAGCCATCAAACATGAGTTCTGGCTTAGAGCCATGGCCAATAATTTCTTGCCTTCAATGTTCAGTGCACTTGGACCTTTGTTCCTCTACCACCATATCATGAGATACTAGGCTGTAAATGGACCTACAAAACCAAATTTTAATCAAATTGCTTGATAGCTCGCTACAAAGGTGGTTTACTTGCACAAGGCTACAGACATTAATGCAACATTAACTGTAGTGAAACATTCAGTCCAGTTTCCAGAATGACCACAATCCGTACTCTACTTGCTGTTATCATATCTTGAGCCTGGCTCATAATACAACTCAATCTTTCCTATACCTACCTTGGACATCTTCAAAACAAAGTCTATAGGACTCAACCTCAAGGTTTCATCAATCATTGTCACATGTGTCTGCTTCACAAAGCTATCTACGGCCTCTAACAAGTACCAATGCAATAATTCGACACTCCCAAATTCTACATGGTTTCAGGTTTCAGGTCAGTTCAACTGATCTCTCTCTCATCATTTATGATTCAGATGACAAACTCAGATTTATCCTCATACATGTGGATGATCTATATATCATAGGAAACAATCAATCACTCATCAACTACACACTTCAATCCCTTTATCAACAACTCCAAATAAGAAACCTGAGACAAATTGATCACTTCCTTTGCATTTAATTTAATCACACCTCTATAGACCTGCACTTTAATCAATCCTATTATGCTACAAAAATACTTGAGAGAGCAAAAGTGACATTCTGTAAACTAGTCCATACACCAACCATATCACAATAATCACCACCTCCATTAATTGATCATGAATTATCATATCCTCACCCATATCGACAGCTTGTCGGCTCTCTTCAATATTTAATCATAACTCACCCACAAATATCTTTTGTCATTAACAGAGTATCATAACATATGCAAAAACCCTATCAATCTCATAACAAATATCTCAAATGACTACTACGATATATTAAGGGAACATTATCTTATGGTCTTCCTATCATAGCCACTGATCTGCACCTTGAAGCCTACTCAGACTCAGATTGGTAGGCGACACCAGAGTTAGAAAGTCCACATCTTTTGTAGTATGTTTCTTGGATCACATTTGATATTTTGGTCTACCAAAAAGCAACCTACTGTAGCTCAGTATCTAATTTAGGAGAGTTTCGCACTTTGGCTCAAACACCAGCAAATCATGTGGATCAACCATCTGCTTCAGGAATTTCACATTTCCAACAACCAAACTAACTCCTCTATACTCTGACAATATATTACAACTAACTCTCTCACCAACAATCCAATTTTTCATTCTCACACAAAGCATATAGAGATAAACTATCACTTCATCAGGGACTGCATCAATGTGCGGGGAATTAAAGTTCATCATCGTTGTTCGAAATACATGCTGGCTGACATCTTTTACATATCCTTTTTCCATTTCTAGATTTTAATACCTGCGCATCAAGCTGGCACTCCACTAGCAAACTATCAGCTTGAGGAGGGGTTGGGGGAGGTGTTCAAAACAACAGTCATAACAAAGAGCATCCCAATTATCTTTTGCAGCTCATCCAAAGAATCCAGCAATCCATCCACAGCACACTGCATCACCAGCTCAAGCAGATCATAACTTACTCTATCTAGAATATTCCTTTCCTCTCTTACATACTTATATATTAACTGGCGCTGTTTAGTGAACTTATAGGCATGAGTTGATATAAACTTCTGTTTTCTGTAGTTTAACTTATTCTCTTTACTCTATCCTCTGCATATCAATCCAGCAATCCATCCACAGCACACTGCATTACCAGCTCAAGCAAATCATTACCTACTCTGTCTCGAATATTCCTTCCCTCTCCTACATACTTATATATTAACCCGCACTGTTTAGTGATCTTATAGGCATGAGTTAATATAAGCTTCTGTTTTCTGTAGTTTAACTTCTTCGCCTTACTCTATCCTCTGCATATCAATCTCCAGATTTACCGTCGATACATGGCTTTGAGTGGCATTCTTATTTCCAGAAAGTATTATCCTGGAGTCCTAATGTAGGACGCAGTTGGTCTATCTCTGAATGTTTTTTATGTATCCAGGTTGGCATCTATGGTTACACGGCATACTCAGCAAGCAAATTTGCACTTAGAGGATTGTCTGAGGCATTGCAACATGAGGTCATTGCAGATAACATTTTTGTTTCTTTGATATTTCCTTCGGACACTGACACCCCGGGTCTTTCTGAAGGTTTGCATCAGAAAAACTTTTCTTAGCTATCATTTTATGGCAATTTTAAAACTGAGCATGATGTCCATGAACTACTTGGAAATGTTAGAAAACCTATAAAAATTCTACTAATAATCATGCGGAGATCTGTGCAATAATCACACGTATTCTTGTTCTATCAGCATTTAATTGATAAGAAAGCACCCTATCAAGCATTGCTCAAATGATACATAGTTCTTATTGAGCTTGGAGATCGTGAAAAGCACAACTGCATACCTGCGCTTAAAAATTGGCTAATTACTTGTATAACATTTAATATTGAACTTCACCCGGATAACCTGCAAATTTCTCTTATAAAAATTTCTATAACGTTGTGCTACCCTAGGACTATTTAGAGATTTAGGATCCCTTCATTCATTCTTCATAAGAAAGACAAATTGTACTCTCCTCACCCATGCTGGAAAAAACAAGTTCGCTGAGCAATTTTAGGTTCTGTTGAGCAGCTGTTAGCACCATAGGATGCCCTTGTACAAGTGAGGCCTGCTGGCCTGTACTTTGACTGACTGCTACTACTTCGATTAATTATTTGAATGGCATTTTATATGTTAGATAAAAATTCTTACTGATGTTTGTGAGATAAATAAGATTTTCTCAGCCTTCCTTATGATTTGTTAACCAGCATTAGTCCTGAAAGGTCTAGTAAGAATGGGCGTTACACTGAACAAATTTAAATATCCTTTACTACATGTAATTGAATTTTATCTATTGATATATTTAATTAATCATTACAACAGATATGCGAGTGCATCTATACTTGGCTTGTTGCATTTACAAATGTACCGCCTCTCTCAAATTTGGCTATCGTTGCGTTTTATTTTTCATAACTGGCTTTGTTTTTTGTTGACTATAAACTTCGTATTAAAGGAAAATTGACACTGAATATTATAATTTTTCACAGTTTTGAAAGATACTTCATGGATGTGTTTATTTGAATTGTTGCATATAAAGCACAAATCTACGTGCAACGGGTTTCAAGGGAGACTATAGCCTCCCAACTTTAGATGATGGCATAACTGATAATTGAGATCTTAGAGATCATTCATGTGTTATTTTCGAACCAAGATTGCTTGCATATTTAATTATCTCTAATTGGTTCTTCATTATTTACAGCCTTAAAAATATTTTAATCTACGGGGCATCTACTAATCATGAATGATTGTTTTTGAAAAGTTGTTGCATTAAAGCTGACTAATTTTCTAGTTGTCAACTGGTTTAAAGATTTTTTGTCGAAACACAAGTTTTGATGGAGTTTCAACTGAAACTACACTAATACTTTCAAGTAGTCCTCCAAATCCACTAGGTCGGTATTCTTTAGGCGCAAACAAAAAGCCATTTTGCATTCTTGAGCCCCACCAAATCTAAAAGCGCTTACGAAGCTATTTCTTTCAACAACTTGAATAATAATAGTAATGATGTAAAAAAAATGTTGTGTAATATTACTGTACTAATTTTTAGATTTTAACGTCTTTAAATTGATCATTAGAGAATAAGAAGAAAAAAATTGAGATGGGGTCTTAAAGAGGCCAAATTAATTGATTTAGAATATTGCATGCATAAATTATTATCTATATAAATTATTCTTTTGGTTTTTGTATGTCAATAGACGAAGTCAACTTGAATGTCTTTGTTTATGAATTATTATCATCTTATTTTCAATAAGATTATATAAAATTGAATTAACCCTTTACATTTTTATCTATCCCAATGTAATCAAAATTGCTAAAATCTCTAAAATTAGCGGTTCTGCAAAATTTATGTTAGTTTTTTGATAGGAAACTCCACCGAAATTAGGGTAAAACAAATTATTTTTCTTCATTAACACCAATATTATAACTGGAATACATAACGATAAGCACTTACAATTCGAGAGGTAGGAAATCTCTCTCAACCCCTAATCCTAAGATTCAACTCATAATCTCATGCATAAACCTAACCCTAAATACATTAGCCTTATTTATATTAAATAATAACTAAATTGCCATTAGGCTAATAAAGACTAGGCTCCCATCCTCAAAGACATCTTCTCCTTATGGTAGAAAAAATTGATGTTGGGTCAAGTTTTATGGCTCTCACGTGGCTTCATCATCTATCAATCATTTCTATTTAATTAGAAACTCATATTGACCCTCATCATCTCAAAATGCCGACTTGTGCATGTCTTTTGGTCGCATGACACTTGACTTTATGTTAGTCCTCGATATTACCGCTGCCTCAAACAACTCATCTGATAGCTTATCGATCCCTAAAATCTCTACTAACTTCTTATCATGTGACTCTTCCGTGATATATAACTTGATAAAAAATCTTAGCCTTAGATCCTGAATCACCTCATCATGTCTTCAGCATCAACAATGCCTTGCTCAAATTGCGGTTACTGCAAAGCACCCCTTTTGGCTCCCTCCTGAATACTCTGCAGTGTCCAAATCATTCTCTTACAAACTATCCCCTTTTCTCAATCCCGTCTCTCCCATCATTACTTATAAATCGCCTTTCGCCTGGAATGCTTTCGTTATAAAAGACACTGCGCTGTTGGATGCAGCCCTCCCTCAAGATTCTACCCTTTCCCAGTCCCAAGTCAGAATTCTTTGAAGTCATCTTTTCTAGGCCTGAATTGCACTCCGTTTTTATCCGCCTAATGTCGCTCGTCCCAAACCTCACGATGTTGTGCAATTTCCTCCAGACATTCCACTTGAATCTGCTCTTGATTTCTTTGTTTGATAATGTAGTTCCCGATCTACCTAAAGCGGTGACACTACCCTGATTTTACGTGAATCCTTTTGCCTACTTCTACTCGCATCCATTCCCGACACTGTCACTCGAATCTATGGAGGGCGGAGGCGGTTTTCTGTGAAACTCCGTAATCTTCTTGATCATTTCTTCTAGGTTCTTGAATCTATTCTCAAAACGGTTTTCAATGGAGGAACAACTTTACTATATCCCGGATTTAAGTTGACTCATCTCTTCTTCCAATTTCTTCTCTGAATCATTTGTTCTCTCGGCTGCCATTATTTTTCGGACAATTTTTGATCAAGAACTATATGATGCGATCTAGTCTGCTTTCCAGCTTGCTCAAATCACGACTGTATTGCGAGGTCACGATGGTGACACTGTATGCCTCAATTCCTTCTTCCCAACTAGCGCGATTGAAGCCAAATTGCGACTGCATTGCTATATATGATCCCATTGTTTGCTTCCCAGATTGGTCAGAGTCATGCAATTCAGTCCTAGGGCATGCCCGGCTTCCCAGCTTGTTGGAATCATGAATTTTTTGGGCAGTGGTGGTCACAACAAGAAATTACCCTTAGGCTAATAAAAACTAAACTTTTCTTTAAGCACCCTCATAACATCTTCCTCATCTAAACATAAAGTAGTTTCTGGTTGCGCATAATATGTGAAAATCAACAAACATGATGTGTTTTCGTTGCTAATAAAAATATAAAATTAATGTATTCCTTGAAACATTTGTTTCCATGGCTAGCTTCTTTAGAAATCTATATCCCTGTTCGCAAGGGTTTCCTTCCCATCTGGATAGTTTAAAGAGCAAAGATTCTAACAGGGAATAAATTTTATAGCGTGATTTATATTATGCATATAAGCGATTAACTCCGCAATCTTATATGATATGTCATCTTTATTAATACATTTTTATTTTTTATTGTTGTTGCAGAGATTCGAAGAAGGCCTGAGATCAGCAAAATAATAGCCGCATCTTCTGGTGGAATGAAGGCAGATGATGTCGCCAAAAAATCTTTGAATGGCATTAAAGCTGGGAGATTTATCATTCCTTGCAACTTTGAAGGAACCATGCTCTCTATAGCAACTGCTGGTTTGTCGCCTCAGAGTTCGTTCATGGCAGCATTCCTTGAGATATCTACCGCAAGCTTCATGAGATTTGTAGCTCTTTGTTTCCAGTGGAACTGGTACTCTACTATAGAGAATTGGCATTCCAAGAACTCCAACAAGCAAAATTAGACCATTTGAATGCATGGAAATTGATTCAAAAAGGTAAACAAAAGAGACACAATTTCAAGTTGGCTGTTGTAGGTTTTTAAATAAGATATTGAACTGCCAGAATCTTATCTTGTTTTCATCATGTTTCTTTTTCTGAACATGTTAATTTTTTAGAGTTTGTCCAACAATATTTTTGAGTATTAACATTTTACCCTTTGATTTGCTATTAGTTGGTGCTTTTATGAAGCCAACGCTTCATATGGACTGAACAGGCAATATATGTTATATTTTTACGAGTGAAAATTATGGAACAACACTATAGTAAACTAATGCAGAACTAAAATGCAACCTCAAATATTTGAAGTGCATAAAGTAAGATTGCTCAATCAATAAGAACTAAACTGGTTTATAGAATCTGAAAACAGGGAGGAATACCCGAGAAAAAGATAAAAGCTAGGGAGGATAGTAACCTTTCATTAATTCTGTGTATTACTGTTTACATAGGACAGGTAGTATATATAGGTCATGTAGAGTTGCTACTATATCATTACTTGCTGCCATTCGGTTAGAATTTTGATGTTGTTTGTATTGGGAACCACTAGAAGGGGTGTTATGTCTAATACCCTCCCACAAACCGATGGTTCTTAGTAGAACCGTTAGCTTGGTGCGAAGATCGTGAAATTGATGTTTGGGAAGAGCTTTTGTAAGTATGTCCACTAGTTGTTGTCAAGATTGAATATGTTCAAGTTGAATGTTGTTGAGGTTGATGTGATCACGAAGAAAGTGGTGATCGATCTCTCTGTTTGGTTAGCACATGGAATATGGGATTCTTGGTTAAGGATATTACAGATGTATTGTCACCATAGAGATGTGTCGGCTGAGTGATAGGAATTCAAATTCCGCAATATGTTGTCGATGCCATTGGATATAAGTGGTAGCATTAGCTAATGCATGATATTAGGCCTCAATAGACGGCCGGGCAACAATTGACTTTTTCTTCACTTGTCAGGAAGTAAGAGTATCACCAAGGAAAGAACACACCTCTGTTGTGGATTTTCGACCGGAGTGATCACTTGCCTAGTTGGTGTCCGCATATGATGTGAATTGAAGGTTTATTGATGCAATCTTCATACCAAAATCGCTTGTGCCTTTCAGGTGGTGAAACAAATGAGTAAGGTGCTTGTAATTGCCTGAAGTGGGTGATTGCATGTGTTGGCAAAGGTGATTAACAACATAGGCAATGTATGGTGGGGTGATAGTGAGGTACTGAAGCGCCCCTGTTAGCTGGTGATAGAGTGGTTGGTTGTGGAATGGAGGACTCGTGATGGCAACAACAGGTAGCTTCGTTTGCATAGGCGTGCCGAGAGATTGGCAATACTGTACTCTTGTATTCATAAGAAGTTGCATCACATTGCTTTGTTGACTAATAAGTTTTGATTTTTTGAGCGGTGAACATCAATTCTTAAAAAGTAGCCAATGGGGCCAAGATGTTTGAGCTGGAAGCATGCAACTAGATTTTCTGTAAGCTGGGAAATATGTGTAGAATTGCTGCCTGTAATAAGAATATCATCAACGTAAATGAGGACAAAAATTCAGGCATTGTGTTGATTATAGATAAGTAGTGATAAATTTGCCTTGCTGATTTGAAACTCCCTTTTAGTGAAGAGAATGGAGAAGGTAATAAACCTAAGGCGAGGGCCTTTTTTTAGCCCATATAATGATTTTTTAAGTAGACATATATGTTTAGGAAACTATGGATCGTGGAATCTTGGTGGTTGTTTCATGTATATGGTTTCATTAAGTGTGTTGTGAAGGAACACATTTGAAATGTTGAATTGAAGTATGTCACAATTATGGTGGAGAGCAATGATAAATAGTATACCGATCGTAGGCAGTTTAGCCACAGGGCTAAATGTTTTAGGGTAGTTTATGCCGAATTGTGACCTTGCGCAACTAGTCTTGCCTTGTAGCTTATAACTATGCCTTTGGAGTTGACCTTAGTAGTATATGCCCAGCTTGAGCCGAGAATGGTCTCATTTGGCAGGGAAGGAACAAGGACCCATGTTCCTCATTTTTGGAGGGCATTGAATTTCTCTTGCATAGCATGTTGCCAATGAGATTATTTGGAGGCTTGAGTGTAAAAGGTAGGATCAAGAGTTGGTTTGAGTTTGATGTAGTAGATCGAGTTTTTGGATTGGTTTGAGGTTGCCCGATTTGGAGTGGGTTATTGTGAGATGGGGAGATGGGTTGGATTGGAGTAGGTTCAGTTGGGTAGTTGTTGTAGCTAATGGGGGAGTTGTGGTAGTAGGTTGAATTGAAGATGGAGAGGAGCTCATGGATGTAGTAGGAGAAGGTTGGATCGTAGGGGATAAAAAGGTGGTGGGTGTTAATAGGAATGGTGGAGACGGAGAAGTGGTAGGATGTTGAGCATTGGGAAGGGCGTTAGATGCTCAATGAAGTGGGAATGTATGTTGATCAAAGACCACATGACGAGATACTATGATTTTGTTAGTAGTGGGTTGTAAGCATTTATTATAGCCCTTATGTTGAACCGAGTTTCCTAGAAAAATGCATTGGACTGATCTTGGTTCAAATTTGTGTGATGCTTGAAGCTTTTTCCATGAGTAGCATGCGTAGCCAAAAACCAAAAGATGGGTGTAGGACAAAGAGGATTTGTGGAGGTGTTCATAGGGTGATATGTAGTTAGTGGTTCATGTGGGCATTCAGTTAATGGGGTGCGCTGCTGTGAAGAGGTTGTCGGTTGAAAACTTATAAAGATGTTGTGTTTGATGTATTAGAGCCCGAGTGTTCTCAATGATGTGTCGATGCTTCTTTTTGACAACTCCATTTTGCTCGGGGGTGTAAGGAAATGAATATTGGTGTAGTATGCCAAGGTCATTGAGGAATGCATTTAAGGTAGTGTTTTCCACCATCCGGTCTAAGAGTTTTGATTTTAGTGCCTAATTGGTGTTAAAGTGATTTAATAAAATTTTTAGTGATGTTTGTGGTCTTAGATTCGACATGCATAGGAAAGATCCAACAAAATTTAGAGAAATCATAAATAAATGAAATGTAATATCTGTAGCATCAGTAAGAGATTATCGGGGAAATACCCGATACATCGCTATGAATAAGTTCTAGTAGTTTATATTTTTGTCCTTTGTTAGGTACAAAAGGTTGTTTATGGCTCTTAGTAAGGTTGCATGTGTTGCATGAAGTTAATTGGATGGAATGAGGAGAAATTGACGTTTGGATATGGCAGTCACAATGTCTGAATGTGGGTGTCCCAAACATCGATGCCACAATTCAGCTTGGTGTATTTTGGAGAGAGATGTAGTAAATGCTTATGGTAGATAAGTAGGTGCGAGAGTAGAGTAGAGTCCTCTACAGTTGGGACCCTTGAGAATGATCTGTTATGTTTGTGAATTAGAGATGACAAAGCCAAAAGGATCAAATGACACAGTGACATTATTGTCTTTGGTTAGTTTATGAATGTATAAGACATTATGGTAGATTAGAGGAGTGTGATGAATTTGAGAGAGTCTCATCTTACGATTCAGAGTCAGAAGAAGATCATTGCCTTGGTGTTGAATTGAATAGCTTGTCCTTTGCCTACCATGACTTGTTCAGTCCCATGATATGGTGTAGCTGGTTGGAGTTGAGTAAGTTCTGATGTGAATTGATCGGTTGCATCAGAATCTGGAATCCCCATTTCTTGGAGGTAGCATCGAGGGCTTGAGGTGGAGTTGTGGGTGCATATTCAAGATTATTTCAATCTCAACAGATAGATGCAGAATGTCCAGTTTTCTGGCATATTTAGTTTGTTATGTTGGATCGAGTTAGTGTTCTTCCTCCATGTGAACCATTTTGGTAACCTCTTCTTTGATTTGCTGGCTAATTTTTGCCCCTTCCTCTAGTGGAGTTTGAGTTGCGTCCTCGGTATGCATTAAGTACAATGGGAATTTTGTTGGTAGGGAGTTGCTTTGCTTTTTTGTTGTTGATATTGATCTCTTCACTGCAAATATGAGAGTAGAGGTCATTAAGAGCTATATGTTTGAGTTTCGTTCGAATAGCTGTTTTGAATGTATTGTAGGTTGGAGGAAGGTTGTTACGGATATACAGGATGACATCTTCTTGATCCAACTTGGATCTAGCAACATTGATGTGATTCACCAGAGTTCAAACTTTCGTTAGATATTGTACCATAGTCTTATCCTTCATAGATATATGGTGTTGTTCGTTTTTCAGTCGAATCACCCTGGATATGTTCATGGGTTGTAATTTGTGTTCTAGAGTTCCCCAAACTTTGCAGTGGTCTGGAGATTGATAATGTGAGGAAGAATGGTAGATGATACATGGAGTATAGCGAGGTCACTAGATTTTGATCAATAAGAATCCACTTTTGGAATTGGTGGTTTTCGGTTCCCTCTAGATTATATCATGGGGGACACTAATTGCTACCATCCAGAAATCCAACACAACCATTTGTCATGAATATCTTGAGAATTTGGGCACACAGTACATGATAGTTATTAGGAGTAAGTAGATTTTGGGAAAACAGTTTTAGAATAGAGGCGAGGAACTTGAGTTAAGGTGGTATATTGATGAATTGTCTCGAGATGAGTGGGGTTTGGGATCCAGACATTGTCGATTCTTCCTTTAGCAAGAAAAAGAATAAGAAGTAGAAATTTGGGATACGTTTTCTATGAACGAACCACATAGGGGCTCGACGTCTTCCTCTCCTAGATGGCTCTGAAACCATAAAAACAGGGAGGAATACCAATGAAAAAGATAGCAGCTAGAGAGGACAATAACCTTTCATCAACTTTGCATATTAGTGTTATATCTAATAGAATCCATATCTTCTATGCAAACTCATAAAGATGCTCATAAATACAGATTCAAGAAAATGAAACTACTTATTAGTTGTTTGGGATTTTTCACTTTTTTTTACTATTTTGTGTTTTTATTTTATTTTGTTTTGTATTTTATTTTAAATAATTTTTTTTTGGTAAGTTTATCAAGGATATTGTTTTTAAAAACATTTAAATAGCCTAAAAGTTATTTTGAATATGTTTAAAAATAAAAATTTATAACATATTCAAAGCACATTAAACAACCATGTTTTAAAAAAATACAAACTAAAACAATAAATAAAAATAAAAAAGATCCCAATTTGAGCCTTGAGTAGGGCTGTCAATTTGGCTCGTTCACGAACAGCTCGTGTTTGACTCGTTAAGCAGCTCGTGTTCGGC